CCCCAGGCGTGCCGGGGTCGGTGCCTTCCCCCACCCCTGCCGTGGCTGGGCAAGCTCTGCTGGCCCCACAATACTGGGCTCCGCATCGCCCTGGAGCCCCGCAGGTTGCTCTGCTGCACCAGCCCCGGGGAAAACCAGCTCCTGGCTGCCCTTGCAGCCAGCTCTGCGCTGGATGTGTCCTTCTGAGCCTGAGCCAGCACACCCCCCAGACAAACCTCGCCCACACACTGTGCCATCTACACCTCCCTGTCGCCCCGTGGGAGCCAGGCACCCCCTCCCCAACACCATCCCCGAGGCTCAAGCCTGGGGCCACCGCATGCCCCACCTCGCTCCCCAGCCCCACAGCTCCTGGGACATTCCTGGCGCTCCCCGGTGCGTGACCGCCCGCTCCGCAGTGACACCATTCCGTTCCTGTTCCCTCCCGTCCCCAAGGTCACCCGCTCCTCCCGCAGCGCTCCTGGCCCTCGCCTACTGCCCATGCCTCCCCCCCCTGCCGGCAGGTCCAGCAGCTCCCAAGGCTGCCCGTGGGAACACCAGGGCACCATCCCTCCAGGGCGACGGCCCCGAGGGGGGCAGCAGCAGCACCCACCGGCTCGGCTCTCGGCCGGCCTCTCCTTCACCAAGCACCGCTCCATTCCGCCAAGGCCCCACCATGGCCATGGTCTCCCGGCCACCACTGCCACCAGTCCAGACTCACCAGGAACATCCCCAGCACGGCCACCTGCCCTGTCCCAGCACCCAGGGATGCCACGTGCCTTTGGACCACCACCGACCTCAACTGCATAGGATTTGTCCCCAAGCTGCCACCTCCTCCGTGGGAGCTGCACGTACCCCTGGGGCGATGGCAACCACGCAAAACGAATCTCCGAACTCAGCACTTCCCTGGCTCCGCTTGGGCTTTCTGACGAGCTTCCTCCTTCGCAAAAATCCCCCACTGCCAAGGTCAGCGGCAGTCTTGGCTTGCGACACCATCTCTCCAGACGCGACGGCAACATTTCCCGATATTTTCAGTCTCCGATGCTAGGAAGTATGAACCAGACAACCCGGCTCACAGCACCAGGTTAAAAGTTATTTAAACTTAAAACACTGGAGGCCCTGCCTTATCAGTACATCCAGGCCCCTTTCGCGCACCCTCCTGCCCAGTGCCCAGGGCACCCGGCGAGCCCGGGCTTGCTGCGGGAGGGCTGAGCTGCGTCGCACACCCATTGCCAGACACAAAACCCCCTAAATCCCTGGGCTGCAGCGTGCGCCGCACGACCCTGCTGCCTGGCCGCAGCTGCAGGGGACAGGAAATTCGGTGCCAGGGTCGGACCTGCCCCAGGACGAGCCGGCCAAGGGCAGGAGGCTGGAGCCAGCAAAGGGACCCGTGGGCACTTGGCTGTCGAGGGAGCCCCGGCAGGAGCAGCTCTGCCTCCCCCTGCCCACCTGCAAGTGGGCAGGGGTCTTGGCCGACCCCGGGGCAGGCGCGGCAGAGAACGCGAGGCTGCGGGGCAGAGGGGGCCAGCAGGTCTGCGCGGAGCTCAGGAAGGTCCCTCCCCGCTGCTGCTGCGGTGGAGGGCGAGCACTCGTGACACCAGCCCAGCCATGTCAGCAGCAGCCAGAGGAAGAGAAACCCCAGACGCAAGAGCTTTTCTGGGGAAGGAAGAGGCGTTAACCCTTCCCCGGCACGCCGCACAGCGCCGGCCCGCAGCGCCCAGCAGAGCCCAAATGGCTCCCGCGAGGCCGGCAAGCCCTGCTGTGGGCTGCGGGGAAGGGGTGGCAGGAGCAGGCGCTCGCTGCCCTGGCTTCAGCCCGGCACAGGGCTTGGGGCACAGCGACCCTGGGGGACTGTGGGGATCCCAGCGCTGGTGCCTGCTCCCCACCAGCGCAGGGGGAGCAGGGGCTCCCACAGCTCCTGCTGCTGACAGCTGAGCCCAGGGACCCTGCACACTGGTGGCAGCAGGAGGGCAGCAAGACACACCAGCAGGATTTGTCCGTCTGTCCCGGGCTCCGAGGCCGCCGGGGCCTGCGGCAGGTGGGAGCAGGAGCAGCAGCCCGTCCCCCGCTCCCACCGTGCCCAGCACACAGCAAAGCCCCCCACGGTGTGTGGAGGCCGTGCTCGCCCCC